GTTAGTTGGCAGACAGAATTCTATTTGACAAAAACGGTACTCGAAAAAAACAGTGGGTGAACTTTCTAAGGGTCTTCAGGAATACTCAGACTCTTCAGTCATATGGATTTCCTTTCCCTCGAAACACTAACTTCATTTGAACTGAGACCTTTTTTAACCCAGTCAGTAGATTCGAGGCTGGGTGATGTCAGCGATGAAATTGACCACCTAACTCCTAATCAGCCAGGTGCCGGTCACCATTATTTTTTACAGCTGTCTCACAATTCCACTAACGCGGTAAGAAGTTATACGATAGCGAGGTGTAAAATATCCAAGGGGTGAATCATTTCCACATCCAATGCGACCTGATCAGGATACAAACAGAAATAATACTCGTCATTAAAGAATGGCTTAAACTGCCAACAGCGCAGAAGGTCAGAAAACTAGCAGCACATATAGTCTGGGAATTAACCACAAGAATATCCGCACAGTTCGCCCAGACGATAAACTAAAACGGTATCTAAATCTAGTGGGACTTTACCAGCACGTAACATTCCAGGTAGACTATATGGTTTGATTTGTGAGCAGTTATGAGGAATGATGAAAGTGACAATTATGACAGGAATTGTCTCACTTTCCTGTGATGAAACGGAGGACAATTTGTCGATGAGCGGCGAAGCACGTTTGTGCAACGAATCCAACCAGGACACAATGTGTTGGCCACGAAAACGATCACGGGGTTTGCGACAGCGTTCTGACACTAGGAATGAGATCTAAAAGACATCTCTAGCAAGCATGAATGCTTGCTGTTACGTGCACTACTGCGTTCCGTTTTGGATGAGCTATATACTATTGGGAAAAAGCTCCTGATTGTGACAGCTAATCATCATTAATTATACAGCACTGAAACGAAGCCTGTGAACAGTATCCGTATCTTCTTTGGAGAAAATTCGCTCACCACTTTGTATCTACCTAGCAGATGATAAATGTCATCCACAGTTAAATCAACATACGCTTGTTTCCCATTCTTTACCATTTAAGGCCCGTCATTTTGATAAATCTGGTTGTTAGCGTGTATTACCAGAATTCCTTGTTTAACATTATATGGGCTTTGAAGCAGGTGACTCTTTATTCCTCTCGGTTTTGATTGCACTCTTCAGTGAGGCGTTTTCCTCACTGAAAGAACTTGTATTAGGTTCATGAGACACATATCTAGGCGTGGTAAAATTTGCCTCAGACTTCAGTTCTGTAAAGAGCAACATTCCCACTCACACCTTTGTCGTGTTCTGCGAGACATACCGACGTTTGTTTACCGACTTCTCCATTTAAATCATTCGTTGTCTTCAGCGTTTTGATATGCTACCCTTTATTCGCATCCACATCACTCTCGTTTGAACATTCTTCCTCCTGTCCTGGTGGAATTATTCTGATGAGTCCGCAATAAAGGGGTCAAGCACTGGACTCGACTTTCGTCCTTATCGGTGCTCAGCACTGCATATATTTGGTCATGATAAGATTTGATCTCGAGACATAGGGCATGCAAGGCGAGCATGTTACCACTGCTTGGCGGATCGGTCGCTCAAGAAGGTCAACTAAGTGGCCGTTCAAGATATCGGGATAATCAATCACATCGCTCAGCCATGGGCGCATTCGCCTGTGACGGGAGTGCCCTCGGTTCACCTGTCTGATATCTGGAGTTAAAATCTTGGTGCGGCCAAATTTATACACTGCTGATAAGCTCTACTACTGTTCCACTGTTCCACTATTCCACTACTCCACCAGTCCACTTGTTGAGTTCCAGATAGGGGGCACTGAGTCACGTGTAGGTTTGAAAATCCCGACTAAAAAATGGAACAGGTGAGTTTGAAATTCCCCGGTACTATTTACACACAAGCAAACACAATTATGCAACCCGTTGTTCCTGTCGCGGCGTCAATATTCGAGTCATTCTGTCGCTGATCGGCGCAATGCAGCATCGTGGTTCGTACTCAACAAAACAGCGAGCGAAATGTTGGCTTAGTGTTGTGGTTCGCGGTCGTCCCTTCCATGACCAGTCTCGTGACTAGGTTTGGCGATGCAATCACGCGGACCTCATGATAGAGCGTCAGAGCTATCCCAGAAGACGGAGTACAGCGCGGTTAAGCGGGTGCTGCGCCCCACACACACGCCAGTCAACCATTGTCGAACGCGATGGCTTTTGGTACAGGATTACATTCCCCACTAAGTGACCGATCCTTAGACACACATGGTCTCATCTGCAAAATCTTTGTGAGTGGAATAAATCATTTTACGCCAAATGGTGCATTTTGTTGCGCATATATGTAGACTAAAGATCACTCTTATATACCTTCATTTTATTGCGATTTGTATTTTACCAATCTCCCTTCCAAATTTTTGGTGCTCATTCGACTTTGAACTTGCTGTGCTGTGGCTTTAAGTTTGAAGATCCGCTTGCTTAAGCAAATCATCCTGAACAAGTCACTATAAATAGACATTCTTCACTACAATGTGTTAACCATAAGAAACTGGCAGCTTTCGAGAACCAAATTCCATTGTGAGAATACTGTGCCGTTACTTCATGTGTAACCCATAAATGAGACGTGAATTATCAAAATATGAAATCGCAACTCTCAGGCAGGTGCAACGTCTACGGTGACAGAAGTCCTAGGGTAAAGTAAAGAGCTGATGAACTGACTTGCATGGCTGCTTCAACTTCCGTTGATTTCTCTAACAATTTGCTCGTGAAGGTCCTCATCTGAGGTACAGTCACTCGCTGAGATATAAGCAAAGCCTGTTTTTGTGGAATTATCAGTTTCAGCTCGACAAGATTCAGTTTTAAATCTCCATCACGACCAGCGACGTTATTACAAATCAGAAACGTTACTTGCTTACGAGTTTTCGTTGTTGTGCGCACCTAAAATGAATCTTAGTTTTGTGCCTCATCTGTGTCGTATTGATAAAGGGATCACATCACCTTATGCTTTAGAGGACTGATTGAAATGTATCGTTCTTGGAAAACAATAGCCACTTTAACATGCCCTCTGGTTTTATCCTGAATTAAAGATGACCAATGAAACCTAAACAGTTTCATAACTAAAGAAATGGGGGGGGGTTTGGAAATGAAATAATAACTAAGAAATGGGGGGGGGGTTTGGAAATGAAAACCCCAATCGATTTTGGAAACAGCTATTAACATATGTGTGAATACACTGAGAATTCACCAACCGTTTTGTTTGAGGCTGGTAAGCTAGACGCAACCCAGGTGGGTTCAAGCGTATTCCTGGGCTGCGGATCGCCTACACAGATGAGATCAAAAGATAAACCACTTTTAGTATATAACTCCATGTTTGGCGAAGAGTATGAAATTATTTGTGAGCCACCTATCCTTTTACCGAGCAAGTGGAAGGCTAAACTATCTGGCGGCATTCATTCCCCAATAATTTCACTGCATTTATCATAGCATTTCGAGAATGACACCCGAACCTCTATCTCGCGATATTCATAAACAGTTTAAGCTAAGCCTAACTGTTGTCACTCATTTAATGTCATTTAATGTCATTTAATGTCGCATTTAATGTCGCTCGGTGAGTGCAAATTAGGTGATGGCGGAATCTAAAGGTGATTCAGAACTGTGTGAAAAACGGCATGGTTGAATACGTGTACTTGGTTACTAGCCAATATTTGCGCAACGCATGCGCAAACACAATCTCAAATAAGAGCTTGATAGGAACGGGACACAAGGGCAGTTCTTTATCTTCTTGGATTGGCGTTTTTCCCTGCACACAAAGAATCTCACCTAAGCCTCAAAACTCGAGGCGATAACAATCTTATCCTGCCTGAATGTCAATAGTTATGGTTCAAAAGTTGGATATATTTCATCTGTCACCGAACTTTCAAACTCCGACTTTCAAGCCCTCAATTAATAATTCAAAATCCAGTTCTTTTCAATTACTAGGGTGTTACAAATCAATGCTCGTGTTCCGCTTGTTTTTTCCATTTCATTTCAGGTACACGCAGTCCAGCTGCTGAGGGAATAGTTTGACGTCAAAAAAATCATCCTCCGTTAGCTGATTCGCAAAAGATGCGATTCCGAAACGCATCAGAATTGCTCATTAGTTATTAATCTCTAAAAAACTTCGGAAAACGTTCTTCAGCCCGTAGCAGGAGTGAAAACGAAGTCCTCTCGTTCGGTCCCGAAAAGGCCCCTTTCCAACATATGTTTTGTTCAAATCAGACGTACAAATGTATATTGTGAACGATATATATTGAATGGGTTCGGTCTTTTGTGTATCGACAAAATCAGCTTAGTTGAAGCTATGTTCTTGTTTCGCTTAAATACTTTCAATCAATTCACTAAATGGAATGTAAAACGTCTCCTTGTAATGATGCAAAGTTGAGGGTGTCAAAGCATTGGACGAAAGTTAAACTGTCTTCCTGACTCAGGGGAAACTACTCGCAAGGATTCTGAAAACTGTTCGACAGACCACGACAGGTTTCGCCCTTCTTCGGGCTAATCAATTAAGTGCAGTATATTCTCGAATACTGTACCAACAGAAACATTTGTGCAGCCTTTATTCAGCATATTCAGTTGAAGAATATCTCAAAGGAGAGATCCACTTGAGTCTAGCGCAAAAACCAATGTGATCTTCAAATGAGTGTATTTTTCTTCTTGATTATCTTTATTTCTCCAGTACTCCGTGAGAGAATCCGAGGCTCCCATCAAATGCATCCCCATTTCACCATGAAACCGATTGGAGCATAACCTCATTGTTTATGTATCCTTTAGTCCGGTTGAGATCTCGTATTGATGGAGTCTATATAGATTCGTACATGGTAAGCTTATCTTGCATAAGCACCTTTTATCTCAAGACGATGAAACAACCCAACGATCAGGATACCTTCAAGGCTCATACTGCATTCGGATTTGTGGAGAAATATTATGATTTTCACGCACTTGTATAGGTCCCAGTATCATAATGTTGACATTGACAAAGGCCTTGATGGTTTTCCAAGTTTTGCTTTCAACTAAAGCGATCCAGTTTCTCCCTCGGTGAAACTCGGAATCTCCGTGTTACTGCGCCCAACGCTACTTTTGTCGCCTAAAAAGTACAAAAAGAAAAATAGATAGCCCGTCTCATGCTTGACGAACCTATTAGCCGGCTTAGGTGTGTACAGAAGTATACCCACAAGTGCTCCTCAGCGGTAGTATTTTTTATCCATGTTTTAGCATTCATGCATTTCGGCACCTCATAATGTGAACCATTTGAAAACTGAGGATGCAAATCACCTGTGGTTTGAAAGCTTTCAGAGAATGAAAACACCCCGTGCTCATTAAGAGTGACGTAGCAGATGTATTAAAACATTTTCTAGATGCAGCACATTACTCACAAACCTGCTGAAAATAACCTAGCTACCCACGAAGCGTTGCGCTCTTGTTAGGGTTCATAAAGTAGGCGCAGTCCCAGTCTTCCATCAAACTCGTTCGTCATAAACGAGAAATTAGAACGGGCTCGTTGTGGTCTCCCGTCAGAATCAAATTCGTACGCAAATGATAGTATCCGGCGAATTCCCTACAATGTTAGTCCAAGTATAACAGATGGCCAACGAGACATTAGGGACTGCACCCACCTGATGAGCCTCAAGAAGGCCGAAACCGGCAGTGAAATGTTTTTTGCGACCTTGTGAGTAGTGTGTTACATCTAGACAATGTATTGTCATATCTCGAAAACTGGACCATCTGAAACGTCAGACGACCTGGTGCATCGAGGTCAGTGGAAGAAAAAAACATAGTGAATGGGGAATTCAGTCGGATTTATTTGAGTCTGCTGTCAAAACTGAATTAGCGTGCAACTGAGTGTTTGATAAGTAGCTGAATATTGTTATTTTGGATGCCTTCACCGGCGGTTGGTCAGCCAAGAATTGATCTTTTTCGGAACTTAGTAATTGGCTCTCAAATCTTTCATCATCAGTCGGAGTGGCCCCATCATTGTGCGGTTGGTTCGGTGTGTTCCTCCTTACAGAAGCCACTCAAAGGACCAATCGAATGTAGGAACACAGACAACGACGTAACTTAGTTCGAAAAAAAACCAGCGGAATCTCGAGGAAGGTACAGTCCAGACAGACTTCGGCAGTGTAAACTCAAACAAGAACGGAGCCATTCCTCAACAAACCTCGCATTTATGAAATCACGTTGACTGGTGGTGAAACGTTTGCTACCAAACGCGGCAGACAGACCAACGGCCACTTTCTCAACAGCAAAACGTTAACTCTGCCAAGAGGCTTTAGCAAATTAGTTTGATTTTTCCATCTTTGATTTAGAAATTGTTTTTTGAGAAGTTTGCCTGCCACCACTTGTGAAGTGGGTGACAGGTATTTGGGTGTTCCTCATGGTCGCCACTTGCGAAGTTATATTGCTATTCTAATTTATGGTTTCTTTTAATGAAAAAATGTGTACGACATTGTCCATGGGCTCTGCTGCACAGAAAATCCAAATGGTCCTTCATGCAATCATCCTTCCCTGACAAGTTTCGAGGCTGACTGGTACTGGCCCAAGTTAAGTAACATTGGTCCGTAATGAATACGGCATACGACAAACAAAAACGGTCAACACTGAGAACATCGTGCCTAAAAAGATTTCTGTTCCATGTCGCCCCTTTTTATTATTTCTCAGAAATATTTAATCTTCAGCGGAACGTTCAGTTAACTCTCAGAAACGTGGTTTGCCAAGACATGAGACTGCACTGCCACATTACATGGTGCGAAAGGATCATGCAAGCTGTTGTACTGCATCCAGCTGGTTGCCATTTGTTCTACGGATTTAAAGAAATAACCGAGCAGTGACTTCCAGCGGTCAAGTCAGAAAACTGCTTCTATCTACACCTTTACACATCAACAGAACTACTTTAAAACAGTTTTGAATGTGTGTGTAAATATAAAGAACACAATTGAGGAAAGCAGTTAATACAATACACGTTTACTACCATAGGAAAAGGAATTAGCTTCCAGTTCAACCTACCAGACCCTTGGACAAAAACGAAAAAAACTGAATTTTTGATTTGCCTTAATTTAGCTAGGTGCTTGCGTACTTATAGTACATATTATTAAAATGTTTTATGGGGCGAGATGGCTCATTGTTTAGAGCGCGAATTTACTGACCGGAAGGTCCGACCCGACCTTTGCCTCTCTACTTCCCCTGTCTAGGCTTGGGCAACCTGGCAGTATCCCAGCCCTCGTGCTTCCTTCGGGTGACATGGCAGTTAGGCACCAAAGGGGTGCCTACAGCTGAGCAATGTTTTGATAATATTTAGTGAACTCGAATGCCGACGGAAAGAAGATCCCGGATGATAGAAAAAGCAGAAATTCGCCCACGGATTCTACTTTCAAATAGAGGAAATAGTCTATGGTTGGTCTATCCTACAATTCATAATTCGATGAGCGGACTTCATTCAGAGAACTACACACAAATACGCATTGAGTTTGACACGCTTTTAGTGAGGGTTTTTTTAAGGAAACTTTGCTGACGTGATGAAAGATGGTTTTGTCACAACTGTAGCAAACACACCGTAGTCTAAAAATTAACGGCAGAGTATCCTACGACAATTTCGTTGTTACAATCAGGAAGGCTTCATTTTTCAGCAGTGGGGGTCACTACGATTGATGATGCAGGATTTTCCGACTTTCTTAATGGCCCCACTCATTTAAGGGATGATTTGCGAAACCGTCCTCCGTGAACAAGTAATCAACACACTATCTCGCGACAATTTAAATGAATCACAACAATATTTAATGTTTCAACCTACGTAAAGAATGTACTGCCCGAATGCACAGCTAGTAAAATGGGCCCTTGATAATCGCGACTCCACTTATGGATTGGCAGTTGAGGTTACCAACGTTGTCAGATTGGTCGTGGAAAATGCAGATAACTGAGAAAAAGATTAAGTAACCCTAATTTATGGTGATGACATTTACTTCCTTCTCACTTCCGTCATAATGCATCATAATCGATTATTTATGACTGGTCTATGGGTGTCCGGCGTTTCTCACATCCACATCTGATGACTTCCTCATATATTCACCACAATATACAAAATTCCACCAGGAAAATTCATTAGGTACAATACTGCAGTTTACAATATGCTACCTTTATTCACACACTGAAATACTACTGAAATATATAGGCAGATAAAAATCAGAGAGCACTCTATCAAAGATTGATCAGCGAAGAGGACAAGAAATGATAAACGGGGGTTGAAAAATACTTTGGCCACTGAACTTCATCATCATGGTGAGTTAACCTCAGCCTGTAAATGTATAAACGAATCTGTTGACCAACACTATGGCTACCATTGTGTTAATAAAAGTTTGTCAAGTTGTTTTCACTTATTCCCCTGATAGCAGTGCGTTAGACTGCCTAATGGCGATAAGTGCCAATACGTGGCACTTGTTAGTAATTTCGGAACCTGATGGAGCATACCGATGTTAGCCGGATGAGAACATTAATGAACGGATTCACAGGCACGCAAACGTGCTCAACACAGCGTGTGTTGATGGACGTTTATCACGTTCACATTGTGTAAATAATTTATGCAAACTAGACTTGTGTTTGTCAACAAAAGTTACTAGTGATTTCCCAAAAGTTTCATGGCACTTGCGCAAATGGTTGTTTGGTAAACATGCGGTAAGTGGTACGTACGTTATCACCTAAAACAGAAAATCAAAAGTATTTTGTATTCCTGTGACATGTGAATGGGGAAACGCACACTGTTTATGAACGACAGAAGCCGTACATATTCACCATGCGTCCCACTGTGTTTAGTAGAATCATTTTCCGTTTAATCCAGTGGGATGACGCAAGTTAAATCGTTGTCGCCTTTAAATAATACAGAGTTAAGAAGCGGTACGTAATAATACAGGAAATCCTTTCAAATAAACGATCACGTGTTTTGGGGATGGTTACACAGTGGGTCAGGATGCATAACAAGCACTATTGTGAATTCTGCACACAAGATGACATTCGATGAAAAACCGTCTATATTTCTGTATTTTAAAGCTCAGCTTTCGTTGTACTTTCAAGAGATTCGATTTCACAATTGGTTAGAATAAGGTTAGAATCTCACTTGGGTTGGACTTAGTAACTACGGATGACATTTAATATCTATTTCTCCTATGTGATGACCGACAACTGTGCTTGTATCGCAATGACTTCCGGACTAAACAAAATCTCATTTCTGCATGCTGCTATCCAACAATCTACTAACCACGATCCCAAATTTATCACACGCCGCTGATCATGATGGCGTGAATCACACTGTCAGTCCTTTTGGAAGATTTGTGTGGATTCCAACCGCGCAAGCACCAGGAAGCTCGGTTAGGAGCTAAGAGTTGTGAAGCTCTATAACTGGAAAAGATTTGTACAAATCGTTTTCTGAACTCTCCTCAACTCACTGCTTTTCGCTATCAAATGGTGCTAGGACCAGATCGTTAAATGTTTTCCGCAGGTTTCACTTGCACTATGATACAACCGGCGTAGCTCGGGGACTGGGCAAGGCGGATGACAGTTTCCCTCAGAGTTAGAATAAGTGCTCCAGCCGTTCTCATATATATTTCACAAGGACGACTGACGTCAAGGAACAATCGTTGCGCGCGCCGATCACGAGATATGGTAAACTTTAAAGGCTAAAAAAACAGGAGAAAGCAAAGAATTCCGGAAAACATGCGAGGTTATTTTGACCATTTTTTGTGACCGGTCCCAAAACTAGCCTGTGGGTGAAACGTCCAGGAATCACAATGGTAAAGATCTATGGATGCGGCACTTTAAAGATGGATTCTCGTTGCCATCCACTGAAATCCAGTCTGATTCTTGAACTGTACCAGAACCCTAGGGGTGTTTCTGGAGCTTCAGAACACTACGACTTCACCTGCTTCGGATAATCTCTTACCCGGAATGTCCAAAAACTGGGTTGAGTCTCTAAGTCTGCGTTTGTATGTTTTAGTTGCTTCTGTTTTGCAGTAGACTGTCCGAAAAACTTAGAGTGGGGCCGCAAATGTTCTTGTCCGCATAAAAAGGATGATCAGACTGAATTAATTTTTAATGAGATTCTTGGCGTCAGTTGTCCTTGCTCGCCCAGTAATGGTCAGCAAAACATTAACTCGAGAACAGCAAGCAGGATTTTAGCCTGGAAGAGATTGCATTTAATACATCTCCTTTGAATTCTGCCAAGTGCTAGAATAGCGCCATACACACAGGTGACCCATACTTCCAGTACCTTTGAATTACCAGGCTGGTCTCATCAACATGCCTGCTGAGCGGAAATCGTCTCGGATGTTTGTGAATATAATAAGCTTTTTGCATTTCCCGACTTCTCAGCCTGCGAAAGCATTCGTGGGGCTCTCCAAAATTGTTCAGGCGAAAACCCAACACTCCTATCTGATCCTTTTTCACCCCGTCTCTCTCCATTCATTCCCTTAATCGACCTGATAATTAGACCACTGTTAGACGGTCCTTATAGCTTCCTGCACGTATAGCTGACGAGAACCCAGCTGACATGGAATATGCAAAAGATTATGTTTTCTTCTTCGAAGAGGAAACCAAGGCATATTCATTCTAGGTGAATTGAATAAAGGGATTCCTTCTTCTGACTTAATTTTGCTCCCAACAAAGTTCAAGTTCGTTATCCTAGACGTGAAGTTCTTGAGCAAGACACAATTCAAGGAGGTTGTGCAGTCATTCAGGTATTTATGAAGGTGATAGATGCGGTCAACAAATGAAGGCTTGATACTGTGCCTAATAAGTTGCAAGTCCTATGGCAACAAAGTGGCTTAGCTGTGAACCTCGATGGCCCTATATACCAGGCTACACAACAGACTCTTTTGTCGTACTGTTTTGATACAGGGTTTTTGCAAGCACTCGATCTGGGACGTCTTCAGGTCATCGACGACCGTTACCTTAGGACCGTTGTAAAGGCTGTGGCCAAGATGATAACTAGACCGGTTTTTGACTTTGCCGCAAGGAATTCAGTAGAAGAATGTGTCCAGCCTCAGAGTTTGCGGTGTTTTTACAGCTATTGCACAAGACTAATCATCGCCTGCAGAAAAGTTCGCTGCTCTGCTAGTCAACTTTAAAGTGGTGGTCAACTTTTGACCTGGAAGACGAGTGTGAAAGAGGCTACTGCTGCTTACTGTAGATGCGGCCCGCCTCACAAGTTTAGGTAACGGTGAACTTCCCTATGAATAGCTGCAGACGCTGCGGGATCCGAATGTCACTCGATGTGACTGGTGATCACGTCTTCAATTTCTAGTAATATGCGCTGAATAGGTATTCAGAGGCGCAGGTACCACAGGATTATTGTAGTAAGCAAGCATCAGATCACTCCCTTGTTTCCCCTCAGGTTTTTCCAAAATAAGGCTTTCAAATCATCCGCTTTGAACAGTGATGTTCTACTGTTATTGGCGACGGCGGTGGTGATGATGATGATGATAACGATGATAACAATGATATCGCCTTCTCAGTTGCAAGCGAAAAATGCATGCTATCTTCATGTCCTCCCACCTATCGGAAACTTCAAAAAGTCTCTCTTTTATACCAACAAAGTGTGAAGCGGAATTGTCACCGGTGCATCAAGGTGATTCGACTGCCGCAAAATGACGAGAAGTTCATCCAGGAAGTGAAGTGCAGCAGAGACAGCGAACATGAAAATCCCGTGGTGATGAGATGATGATAACGATGATAACAATGATATCGCCTTCTCAGTTGCAAGCGAAAAATGCATGCTATCTTCATGTCCTCCCACCTATCGGAAACTTCAAAAAGTCTCTCTTTTATACCAACAAAGTGTGAAGCGGAATTGTCACCGGTGCATCAAGGTGATTCGACTGCCGCAAAATGACGAGAAGTTCATCCAGGAAGTGAAGTGCAGCAGAGACAGCGAACATGAAAATCCCAACATAACTCTTACGGTATGATCACACGTTCCGCCTAGTTTGTCAAGAGGAAATTTCACCGGTGAAATCCGAAACTTCAAAGTTGTTTGCCTCAACCGTACAACATTAATCTTCTCATTGTCAACGGCTGAAACGTAGGCGTTAGTTGTGAGCAACTTCTGGTTCTGGAATTGCCTGTTGGTCGTGCATCCGATATACGCTAGCGAACAAAAATAAAAAAATTGGATTAAAAGGTTACATGGGATCGGCGTTGCCCCACTTGCAAAAACTTTCTAAAGCTGATCTATCTATCGAGAATACTGAGCTCCTAATGTTCATACGAGACAACACAAGAGGATAAAGTAATTCAAAGAATCGTGGGATCAACAAATCGCATTTGTCCAGCTTACTAGTAAGTGTAACTCTCACCTCTAGAATGTGGATAAAATCAACCTCTTTATTCCTTTGAACGCGGCTGACTTCAGCTGGTTCCGATTTTGAAACGTTTCAGTACCGAAGTGAAGCTTAGCAATACGCAGTTCAGGTGAAGATGAGTGCACCAATCCACCTTACGGCCCAAGGCCCCTCAACGCTTAAACCTGATTTCATGAACTGTAAGAAAACATTCGGTTACCAAGACATTAGGGCATGATGAGTTGTATTGAAAAGCCCCGGATTCCAACAGGTTCCCTCAGGTTTGTTCTACTCGTATGGGAGCCTTCTCAGTCACAGCCTCGTGGACATTACTATTAGGGCTAAAGAATAAGATAACAAAATTCCTTAAAAGGACCGAAGAATGTTGTCAATCATCGTTGTGAAGTGGTGTTTTTTTAGGAATCAGAAAATACGAATGTTCTTTGATGTGATGATCAAATTCTGCTTAGCCATGGCGAGGCAGGATGTTCAAAAGTCTTTACCACTACTGGCTACCGTAGATTCTTGTTCCCCATACTGTCAGTTGGGCTTTTTAACTAGGCTTTCTGATCACATGGGGTCTCCTATAACTTGTGTTTAAAATGGTAACCTATGGAAGGCATCATGGACGGTGAGTTCAACTATGGCTAGCCCAATGCTCTCATTTGAACACCAAGGTGGTTGTACCAGGAGTCTCAACTGAATCCCAGTGGAACATCCCGTTTCTGGTATTCTTCAACTGCATCTGATACTCAAAGGCAGCCTCATGCTTCGAATAAGACGGTACGCAAAACATCACGATATGGTTTCAAGGAGAGAACTACTCGAAATTTCGTTGAAAACTATAGGTAATCAAATGAGAGTATTTGGCGAATTTCATACTGTTAGGGTCTAACTGGAATAAAAGGTTGACAGAACCTCGGGCAGTGCGCCAGCCTGATGAGCCCTAGGATTGAAGAAACCTCCCGGGGGCTACGGATATTCAGTAACTTCGTACTGCAATATTGTTAGCCCACTTTTTTCTAATCAACGTTGCAAGCAATTGCATCTTTATTGGAGTGCCTCACTCCATGGAAGCTCAGCAAGTAATCCGGCTGTCCAGCCCAGATGGGTCACGTCCTGAGAATTTTGGCGATTCTCACCCTAAGATTTGAGAGGAAAATCATTAGGTCTAGTCAAAAAAATCTAATGTTTAGTTACTGACGACTGACAGCTTGGGGATTAACACTTCGAAATGCGAATGAAGCCACTGAACTCTGTACCTACTACATCTTGACAACACTTTCGCAAATTGTGTTCTTCTCATTTAGCGCATACTTGAGTTGCACTGGTAAACGTAGGGTGAATGATTCTGCCCTCAAAGGCTAATGATATCACTAATTCTTTCTAGAAAAAGATTACAGTAAATTCTGCTTAGTCTCGCCGCGGCACACAAAAAGAAATCTCACGGAGAGAGAGGAAAAGTGGAATATGAATACGTATGGCACACTTCCTTAAATGGATATTTTTATTTACAGGTCATTTGGTTTCCGTCATTCCTGGAATTAGCGACTTCTTCCCAGAAGAAGCCACGTCTTAGGAGGAATTTTTGTTGGAGGGATTGATTACTCGAGTATTCGCCTGGAGGTATTTGGTACATCCGCACTGAGCTTCGTGGTTAACTGAAAACTCGTGATTAGAATTTGAGATTGTTGCCACAAATTACCTGTCAGAAAAAGTCCCATGTGGTCTGTCATTAAAATATATGAATATCCTGGCGCGAAGAATCTAAATCATTACGGAAAAATCGAAAACAAAAGTCGCACTCTTGGCTACTGTTCTTGAGTTTATAAGACCATATCTTCGCTGATAAAAATATAGCTATTTGAGAAAACTTCGCCTATAAGGTCAAGATGAATAGCCAGGCAAAACACCGGGGAATTTCGCTCTTTTTCACCGGGCGTAAATAGTGGGGTGCAAACCTTCCGTAGCTACCCGGGATAACGCACTGATGACGTATAACGAAATGCTTGCAATTCAATTGCCAAGCTTGGCGAACAGATCAACAGACGATAGGTGACGAATTCTACATACTGTATTTTGATATACTTTTTCTGATTTACCCTCTTACTGCAGATTACTCTGAATTTCACTCCCATGCTAATAAGTCGACCAGTTGGGTCGATCACCGTTTTATATCTTGACTCCATGTGACCTGAGTTAGCCGACTGTCCATATCAATAATCTGCCTTTAAGTGTCATAAAGTATGTGACATTTACTTTACAACTTCCACTATATACAAAACCAATGCATCCATTTTTTAAAAACACCTTTTCTGCGACGTCGGAGACAACCGAAATGGTTCCCCTCATTTTTCAACTTTGTTAATCACATCAAGCATAAGTCTGGATCCCACAAGTCTACCCTCTTTTTCTATCACACGACATCGTCAAATAAATTAGAATCTTTTTGGGCAGCGACTTTGTATTCAAAAGCACCTCAACGGTGGTATCTTTCAGACTCATGTGAGAATCCCACCAGAATCTGTGTTCTGTTTCACTCATTTCCTTCCTTCGCACAATATCATACTGTCTCCTGTTTCTTTCTCAATGCCGAGCTTTAATCAGTTTCTGTCCTGCTGGTCTGAGAGCATGCCCATCATGAACTGACTAGGGCACCATAGTACACAGCACACCTCACCTCGATACGTTCAAGATTCGCAAATTGTGCACTTCAATAACTTTCATTCTTTCAGGTGCCCGTCTTTCTCCGAAGCCCCTTACTTCGTGATCGGACATAATATCACTCCCTTCCTACACTTGTCCGTGTTACTTGGTACCACTGTCACCATCATCCTTGCCCGGACCAAGCACGAAAGTACTCGCAACGCGTGCCGGTGTTGTTTTTATAAATGGCTAGTGCACACAACTCTGCAACAGTGTCGTCATGTTTGGGTGAGGCTGTCTGATCGTAGCTTTCGCTACTCGACTCCATTCAGAATAAATTCACAGTGTGATTCTCTCAAAATCATTTTAATCAAACAGCAAGAAGCACAGTATTTCGCATTTCCGTACTCGCTCAGTTCAGGGCTTTTTGCAGACCAACATCAGACGACAAATATCGGGACGCTGCTCTGTTTGTACCGTGATTACATAAGCGGACAAATCACGCTTCACGGGTTTCAAGCGTTTGATCAGCATAATGTAACGAACTTTGTGTGGTTGTTGGAAACGATTCCATTTGCAACGGAAGTGCTACCGTATTGTGCCCTAAAATACATCATTCATTTGATTAGGATACTAAGGATTAGTAAGAATCATCCTGGTAATTTATGGAGAATAATTGTAACGCTATTATGCAAATGCCCAGAAACGCTTTAACCGTAAGTTTTGGAGCGATTTGTGGCCCACTGGCCGAAAAATGTGTGGAGTAAATTAATAATCTCGATTTACTCTGCCATTAATCTTTTTTGAAGCTTGACATTCTTCTCATCAGTATATGAATAAGAAGCGGACAGTAAGAACAACGGCTCAAGTCAAGCAACCACACCTTTTAGCGTCAAAATGTCCACCTGTTCAAACTTGAAAATTCAAATGCTTCCAGCGTGCCCAGGTGGAGCTTTGTAAACAGGTTAGCCTCGCATGTCCGATGTCCGGAATTGAAACACAAGTACGGTCAAGGATATGAAGTGATAATAAATTCCAATAGAAGCGAAACTCAAGTGCATTGCTCCTCTGTTTGGTGTCTCCTCACCAGAAAAATTGCACCAGGACAAAAGGGTGACTGTTTAAAAAGAATGATGTGAAGGTGAACTCTACAAACACGGGATTGCCTACAGTCAAGAATAGCCTCTTTCGCTGCATATCAGCGCATGGAGGAAGTCAAGTTGCTTTACAGTAAATCCGCGGTGAGGATGGCAAACAGGGCCTATCTTGAATTGTACAATAATGCTAAATCTACCGTCTGCACGTGTATTATGCGGTAACAAACTAGAGGAAAGTTGCAGATACGCAAGCCTGTTTGAACCGGAATTTCTGAAGTTTGTAATACATAGGACCCGGTCTAGATTGTTATAGTGCACTCATTCTTCCCATGGTGTTGTCTCCTCTTCCGGGTATCACGCTGTCTGACCACGAGTTTGCCTCTCATGATGTTCGGTTGTCTGTTTCCTCAGTGTCATGTAAATCAACCAACAATTTGGCACACACGAAAGTTTCTTTATCAAATACGAAGTCATGTCAACGGTCTTTTGAAGCTAGCTTTTTCGTTTTGTGAGATGACAGCATCACATGCCTATTCTGTTAACATGATTATTTGTAGTAATTTTAGTTGATGGCTGATTTCAGTCAAAACCTGACATTGTGGCCAGCACTGACCGTGATGAGCTGGTTGTATTGACATATAATTTACAGAGTTACCTGATTTGTTCATTACCAAGAAGGGTTAATGAATAAACGTCCAACCAATTGACGTTGATAAGACCAGTGATGTGGGTTAATATTCCACTCGTGGAACAAACTGAGCAATGAGGATAATTTCATTTTGAGCCAGCTAATTCTGCTTTCAAAAAATAACCTACAATCTTGGTGGAACGTCATTTATGGCTGAGTTTGTAATTTGTTCTGAAAAGCATTTTGTTAAATTTACTTGCTTAACCGATCAAGATATAACACTCCAAGTCTGTGGGGTTGGGATGATTCATGAAATCTTAGTGATATTCCTGCACAACGATTCTGCTCCCATTAATAGATTTATAGATTTTTCCGCTGATTTTTCTGAGAAGCAGTAGTTTGAGGGATCCGACGTGGACTGGCAACGAATTCGTT